TTGTTCCTCTTTCTCTCTCTATTGTCTCAAAATAATAATTAACATTTTCCAGCTTTTTGGGATATAATTGATGTATAACTTTGTATAAATTTAAGATACAGTGTGTTGATTTGATATACTTACATATTGCCGAATGATCACCACTATGGTGTTGGGCAACACCTCCATCATGCCTCATAGTTACCATTCCTTTTCTGCAGTGAGAACTTTTAAGAGCCAGTCTCTTTGCAACTTTCAAGTATGTAATATAGTATTATTAACTATGATCACCAGGCTGTACATGAGATACCCAGAGGGATCCATCTCATAACTGGAAATTTGTGCCTTTGACAAACGTCTCCACTCCACAGTTCCTGGTAGCCACCATTTTACTTTGTTTAGATGAGTTCAGCTGTTTTAGATCCTACCTATAAATAATATCTTAGAACATTTCTCTTTCCCTGCCTGGCTTATTTTACTTAGCCTAATGCCCTCAATGTTCATCCATGCTTTCACTCTCCTGACTAAATAATATTCCTGTGTGTGTGTGTGTGTGTGTGTGTGTGTGTGTGTGTGTGTGATATCTTCTTTATCCAATCATCTGTTAATGGATGTTTAGGTTGTTGTATCTTGGCTTTTTGTGAATAATGCTACAGTGACCATGAAGGCACCAATACTTCTTTGAGATCCTGTTTTCATTTTCTCCTGATATATACACAAGGTGGTATCATTGGATTATCTGGTAGTTCTATTTTTAATTGTTTGAGGAACCTTTACACAGTTTTCCACAGTAGCTGCACTAATTTACATCCCCAGTGTTCTCTTTCCTCCACACCCTGCCAACACTGGTTACCTCTTGTCTTTTTGAGGACAGCCATTCTAACAAGTGTGAGGAGATAATCCTTTGATTTTCATTTCTCTGATGATTATTGATGTTGAGCACATTTGCATGTCCTTGTTGGACATTTGTTTAACTTCTTTGGAGAATGTTGAGTTCCTCTCCCCATTTTCACATCAGCTTGTTTGCTTTTTGTTACTGAGTTGTATGAATTATTTTATATTTTGTATATTAACCCCTTATCAGATAGGTGATTGGCCAGTATTTTCTCCCATTGCATAGATTGCCCTTTCATTTTGTTGATAGTGTCTTTGCTGTGCAGCAATTTTTTAGCTTGATCCCGCTTGTTGAGCTAAGATGCTTTCCAGTGGGCTTATTTGTCTTCGAAGCCATCATGTTATTTGGTTTCCCCTCTGTGGTTTTATTTTACCCTGTCCTTCCCCCATAGCAGCCTAACTGCAGCCACATAGACTCTTCTGTATGCTTTGAGGGAACATGCCTGCTTCTACAAAGTACTTTCCTGCTTCCCTCCCTGGGATGCTCCTTCTTGTGTCCTTTCCCAGGTCTGCCTCCTCCATTTCTCTGAGTTTGCAACTCTAAAGTCTTTTTTCAGAGAGAACTTTTCCGACACCACTTTCAAAAGCACTTGATTTCATTTTCCTCATAACATGAATCACCATCTGAAATTAACTTAATTATGTAAGTGTTTCTCTATGGTCTCCTCAGCATCACATAAACATACACCCATTAAGTGTACATTCTATGAAAGAACCTTTTACAGAGACTGCCTCAATTATTATTCAAGATGGAAGCAAAGGACACCCAGTTGGGTAATTTGAGATTAGTTTAATAAAAAGACTCTTTTGGAAAGTGCAAGCAGACTGAAGGGACACCAGTAGGGATGGGGCAGTGTCTGGAGAAAGCATAACAGGTGGCTGTGGTCAGTCACCACACTAGGGCTGAAAGAATACTGGGCTTTGGGGACACATGCAGCTGTGTGATGAGGGGCCATAGCAGGAGATGATGTGGGATGTCCGGGTATCCATGCAAAGAAAAGCCCAACCTCATTCTCCTTATACCATCCAATCCCTTGCCAGTTGGCCTAATAGAACCTAAAGCTGGAGAGCAGAGAGAAGTCTAGAAAGGTGTGTAAAGTTGATCTAGAGGGGCTAGTGGAAAAATGTTCACCATTTTCCTGTTAAACTTGATAACAGGACTGAATGAAACATACATTTTCGCACAAACGGTGACTGAATCAGGTGTCCCATGTCTCAGTCCTGCAGTGCCATCCTCAATTCAAGATATAGCTCATGTAAAGCCATCTACTGGATTATCATATGCAGTATTTTATGATTCTTCATGTAAAGTATTGCATTATTTCATCTCAAAATGCTGTCAGAATATTTAACCCATTTTCTGCAAAATAAGCTGAGACTTGTTGAGGTTAAGGGGCCCGCATACAACATGAGGGTCCTGGCAGAGGATAAATATGTTCCTTGGCAGACTACTTACTTTGATACATTATTTTAAGTTTGTAACTCTTTCAACCATATATCTATATTCATATTGGCAGAAATAAAATCCCACTATTTTTCTCCTTCTTGTATTTAATTTGTCACGATTATGTATGCTGGGAAGTCCATCAAGTACAAGACATTTAAATCGTACCAAAACTCAATGTATACTTGCCTATCCACCTTTTTCTAATAAATAGGATTTGCTTCAGAATTCTAGCTAATTAATTAAATTTTGCGGTATTACTACTGTGGAATATTTATTCTATCCTGCAAAATGCATTTTTTAGGCTTCAGTTATAATCATACAAAGCTGTAACTTTATATACAAATACTAAAAAATAGAGATGAGCACATGAACTTAAAACCTGAAATAACAGAATGCAGCATTTCCGTTTGCTGGTTACATTCTACTATAGAAGCACTTAACATCATTCCTTGGCAAAGTTCCTCCTTGCTTAAGATCATACAATCCATTTTTGTCTTTTTGGCTTTAAACATTAGGCCTTTGGTAAATAATGAGTGGTCCATAAAAAGAGTAACTTCTTGGAATGGAGACTATTTTCCACCAGGCTTTTTCAATAGACCACAGTGCTTTAAGATTCTCTTCTCTCATTTGAATCTTGTCGTCTGACTGATTTCCCAGATTCACTCTGAAAAAATTCTACAAATGCCGTATTTTATTTTTCTGAAACAGTGGTTCTTAAATGGAAATGGTGGTGGGGATCATGGTCATCAGTGATTTTCTGTGGAACTACATATGCAATCCTTTCCTCTCTCCAAATTCTATAGTTCAGCAGCACTATAGTAAAGGAAGAGAGCTTAGCAACTGAAAGGTCACCTATCAGACACAGGATGAAGCAAGAAGGCAGGGCAGTTTGATGTCTGGATGATAACTGTAGCAAATTACCAGAAAACAAACAAACAAACAAACCTAGGTATACCAGAAAACAATCAAACAAACCTAGTCTTAAATAAGTGTGAAAATACTTATTTGCTCTCTTTTTCATAGCATCTTAATGTATATATATATAACATATATAATATAAAGTATAAAATTTATATGTATATGTTTCATATTAGAAATGAATCAAGTAAAGTAAAAATTATGTATAAATATGTGTAATTATGTATATATATATATACATGTGTATATACATGTGTGTATATATGTGTGTGTGTGTGTGTGTGTGTGTGTGTGTGTAAATTTTATATCATAAATGAACTGACTGAGAAGAGATCTGGTCAAAAACAAGACAATACAGCATGCCTATGAATTAAACCTAGGCATTTATCTATAAAATATAAACATTATAACACAGACAGAAGTCATGTAACTTAAGGCATGTGGGACCAGTCCCCTGAGATGGCAGAGATGAAGAATCTTAGTTAAGAGGCTTGGAAATTACACATCAAGAGTCTGAACTGAAGATAGAAAACACAGAATGAAATAATAGAGTGTCGGTACCCATGCCTGAATAAACAGTAGTAACCAAAAAAAGGAACTTGTTTGTTTTGTAAACATTGCCTGCCAAGGATCAGAAGAAATCTTAGTCTGTAGTTCAGTCTAAATTAGCAATAGAATAGCATTTTGTAAGTCAATAGTGGAAAGTACAGATTAAATGTGGATGTATATTCAGATTATGATCTGGATGCTATACTTCGTGTTGGTGCTTGATATTATACTGATTATTCATATATGCCACTTTATTTAAGAAACAGCATTATCAAAGACACACAGATTTAAGACCAATGCTCTGTAATCTCTCCCTAAAACCATTGGGTATAGGTTGGAATTTGGTATTAAATTTATTCATAATTTTACTCGCAACAAATCCAGAAGGTTTTAGTTATTTTACTATGAATAAATATAAATATAAATTAGTTCTATACTTGGACAGAAGGGGAGAAAATGAGTAGGATGTGTAAATATGCATATATATACTGCATAATTCACAATTGTAAACTTAATTTTTTATATATCCATTCATTCATTCATTCATCCATTCAGCCAGTCATTCAACTAGTCACTTGTTTGACACATTCTTATTGAGCTCCTTCTAAGCAACAGACACTGGAATAACTCGGTGACAAGGGAGAGAAGGTCCCTGCAGTGGCGAAGCTTAATGAGATCTAAGTGAAAAATCTGTGGTGAAAATAATTAAGAGGAATCCTAAGAGATGGAAAATACATGGGAGGGGATATTTTGTGTGTTTAAAAAGTAAAGTAATACATTTATTTTAGAAATTAAAGGGAAGAACAGAGAATTAGCTTTCCTTAGAAACCTCACACTCAGTGTAACCACTAATTTTTAAAATATATGTATTTTGTCTATACTGTTTAACAGTTTGGTTGTCTTTTAAAGATAGAGTCCTAAGTAAATCATGTCTGACCTGTTGACTTAGTGAGTGATGACCATCTCCTAGAGCTGATATATTGTTTTTTAACCATATTCCACAATGTTGCAAGCGTTTCAGTATATGGCTGTTATCGTAATATATTTAATTATATTCTAACCATTGAACATTTTGAGTGTTTCCCTTTTTAAAAGATAGGTAGGTTTGTTAGCATGTCTTTTCTACCGAACGTAGATAAAATCATTTTCTTGTTGCAGACTGTCTTATCTCAGGAAACCGTGTTTGTGACATTTATTATTTTTTCCCCTTAAGGTGTTATTAGAACAGCTTTGCCAAACATGGACAGGGAAGTCAAAGAACAATACCAAGTCCTCATTCAAGCCAAGGATATGGGCGGACAACTAGGAGGCTTGGCTGGAACCACAATAGTCAACATCACCCTCACCGATGTCAATGACAATCCACCTCGGTTCCCCAAAAGTAGGTTCTTTCCTATTGAGTTTAAATTACTGAGTCTTAAAAAAAAAAAAAAAAAAAGCCCTCATATTTCATTGAATGTTGCAGAAATTGTAATGATTTTTCAGATGCTTTTGGTCTTTAGGAAGTAAAAGCCAATAGATAAAAGTTAAACGACTTAAGAGTTTCATTTTCCATGAGAATCACTCTCAGTATGACTTTAATATAAAACAATACATCAGTAGTTGGACAGTAGTCTTACGTTGTAGATTCCTGTTAAAGTAAAATATTCACAATAGGTTGGAATCCTCTAATTTTTTTACTTGAAAAAGTAATATAAACATGAATATTTCATTTTAATTTAAGATTCGTATTGATGACAAAAATGACACCGTATTATTTACTCTCTCGTGCAATTAGTCTAAGAATTCTCTGCCTTCTCCTTAGCTATTATATGCGTTGAGTCATTTCTATATGCTTCCATGTAAGTATCAGATGATATTACAGTGATGCTATTTACATTACTTTAGTCTTATTTTAGTTTTGCAGTAGGTGAAAATTGCTACAGTTTCTATGATAATAGAATGTTTCACACCTGTATTTTCTCTGTAACTCTGTGCTTCTTATTGAAAATGAATACTTCTCACTTGTGTTACATCTAGTTTTCTTTTGCAGTATTACATTTAACACCAATCAGTACCTGTTCGATTTCTGGTACATTTTCAAGGATTAGTTCAGTGTTCCTAGGACTTAGAATACAGAAACTGAAAGTCTCTATCACTGGTTACACAAGGAACTTGATTAAATCCCTAGATACTCATTTGTGTGAACAGTTTGTAAAACCAAAACAAAATGATTTTCCTCTCTCAATCCCAGTAGGAGAGTTTGAGTTCATCTACTAAAATATAAAGCCCTGAGAATATTTAACTAAATGGACATTTTATTCCTTTAGCTGAATGGATTTTCATATTTTACTATTTTATCATTTTCTCTTAAAATCATTAACATATATTTTCTTATGGAAATATTTCACTTAGTGATCAGAAGGTCCAATGGCAAATGTTATGAGTGGCAATAAGAAGTCATCATACTTAAGCAAATGAAATGTATGTGACAAATGACTGGTATATAATAGGCTATAATTAATAACACAGAGAGCCTTATGGCAACACTTTTCCTTACTTTGCTGTTAAGGGAACCAGATAAAATGTAAATAAATATTAAAGAAGAAGAAAGAAATAGTGCATTTGATCCTCTAACATTTGACATTAATAAAAAATATATTCCCAACTTGAAAAATACTGATTATTTTTACTCTTATTTCTTTACTGTTTACTTCTTACATGTGACAAGCTGTAGTAGCTAAAGGGAGATAGTTGGGAAGCTACTCTACTTTTATATAAACAACATCACTGTGAATGTGGGTCCTTCCTGGTTTGCATTTTGTACATATAAAATATTCTCCATGTAAGGGATAGGAAATAGCAGAGGTAGTCCTCTGTCAATATTCTTATTCATAAAGATGATAATGAGGCTTTCAGATAAAGGATATAAACTCCAGCCAGTGGAAAGAAACAATTTCTGCTGATATGGAAGAAGGGTAATTTGTAAAAATTTGGGCAGGGATCCAGATAAATAGGCTGGGGTATAGGGGAATAAAAATATCTCCATGAGAAAGAGGTTAGATTATACTTAGCACATAGACAGTGTGCTCAGGTCCTCCTGAAACAGGACGATCACTTCTAGAACTTACCTAGTGAAAAGAAAACTAGGATAAAGCAGTGGGTTTGTTGGGGATTTATGCAAGGTTGAATATGTAGGTCTGAGGGTAACTGAATGAGGGCCCCTAGGAAGGCATGTGGGAGATAAGTGGACTGGAACTTTTAAAACATTTATAGGCCATGCCAAAAACTTTATCTCATTCCCTATTTACAACAACATTCTGAGTTCTGTATTTTCCACATTGTTAAAAAAAAAACAAAACACTGAGCTGTAGAGAAGCTAAAGAACTTTCTTGAGACCAGCAAAATTAAGGAGAGATTTTTTTCTTTGCTCGGGAGTTCAAATTCCTTCTAGGTTACCATAATATTAAAATGAAAAGTTATTCTTTTCTTTTATCTGCCACTCTGAAATCATACTTTGTAGAACACTTGCACAAAAGTCACATGACACATGTTGAATTGTCACCATTCCTAAACAGAGAAGCAAGAGAGCTAAAGAAATATACCGAGGAGGTCACCATGAAAAATTATTTTCTTCTTGTATTACACGCATTTCTGAACTATAGTCTGAGAGTATAACAGGTGAGAGATATTTTTGAATCATGAGAAAGGAGAGAGTTTTCACATTTTGCATGAATAAGAAATTAATTCCCTTGAAATTTTACATGCCCTGTGTCAAGCCCTTTTTACTGTATTGTCATTTCAAATTACATCCTTGAGAAGAAGAGACAGAACACAGTTATAAACAGAAAAGCCATTTCTTTAGAAGCCAATGCTCTTTTTGCAAGAATATTTCTCATGTGAAGCAATTGAACTGCAAATGTGACATAACATTACAAACTGAAATGATAATCTTTCAACATTAAAAGTAAATACGTATATATATTCTATATGTAAATAAGAGAATGCCCACAACTAACTATATTTGTTCCTGCTTGATAAGCAATTATTCTGAAAACAAAAACAACTTCATTCAGATGAATTTCATGAGCTACAATTTCTCATTGCTTAAAAATTATGGAAGATAATTTCTTAAAATTTAATCATGATTTGTTTGTGCTTTGTGTGTGTACCTATGTATATGTGACACTGTTAAGTACCCATTTCCAAGTGTGGAGATTCCTCAAAAAAAATAACAATAGAACTCCCCTGTGACCCAATAGCACTAGGAATTTACCCTAGGGATACAGGGATGCTGATGCATAGGGGCACATGTACCCCAATGTTCATAGCAACACTCTCGACAATAGCCAAAACATGGAAAGAGCCTAAGTGTCCATCAACGGACGAATGGATCAAGAAGATGTGGTTTATCTATACAATGGGATACTACATGGCAATGAGAAACAATGAAATGTGGCCATGTGTAGCAACATGGATGGAACTTGAGGGTGTTATGCTGAGTGAAATAAGTCAGGCAGAGAAGGACAGATACCATATGTTTGCATGTATAGGAAGATTAGGAGGAACTTAACGGAGGACCGCAGGGAAGAAGAAGGGGAAAAATATTTGGGGAGCGGGAGGGAGGCAAACCATGAGAGACTCTTGAATGCTGAGAACAAACTGAGGGCTGATGGGGGTGGGGGTAGGGGATGGGGGGTGTTGGGCATGGAGGAGGAAACTTGTTGGGATGAGCACTGGGTGTTATATGGAAACCAACTTGACAATAAACTATTTTTTAAAAATTTAAAAAATAAAACACTTTGTGATTAAATATTAAAATGGTAGCACACTAAAAAAAGAAAAAAGAGTACCCGTTTCCATCCATTTCCTTCTCTGAAGAATGGCACATGCATTTGTATCATGCAAGTATAAGCATATAGTAGACTCTGGGTCTGAAGTTTTGAAAGATAAACTTTGTTAGGGGTTTGGGTCAATACAACACAAGATTCTGGTGCTGGGTGGAAAGTTGTTTACAGCAAACACAAGGCACCACCTCTGCTTACCTGAACTGGTCTAGGGGAAGAGGAAGACAGAGCATGCCACCTCAGGGTCAACAAGGCACCATTGTTTTGCTAATTAGCTCTGCTCTGGGCAACATCACCTTGCTGCAATCTAAAGCCCTGTTTTCCTGTTTGCCAATTTTGGTCCTTCCTTCCTGTAAAGCAGCTTTCTGCTATTCTACTAAGTTAGGGAGTGTTTCAGTCTTTGCCCCTTTTATCTAATCGTATTTACTTAATCTTGTTTACCCATACTTGAGTGTGTACCTCCTATTGTTTTCTAATTCTTTATGGTTTGTTAACCCATCAGTGTAGCCCAGGGAATTCCTAAGCTTATTCCCCACGTAAGCAGTTTGCTCCTTTATTGTTGAAAAATACATGGTTCCCATGACATCAGAGCTTCCTGTCAATATGATATGATAATGGTGACAAAGATATTGACTACTAAATTACCATGTATCATCTACTATGCAGAGTGATTTCCATATGTATTTTCTTCTTACTTTTATAATGCCCATATAGTATTTTTTATATTTTTAATTTTAGAAATAAAGTAGCAAGGCATATTATTAAGAAGAGTTGCCAAAGTTAAGTTTTTAAAAGTTAAAAACTTGTGGGACACCTGGGTGACTCACAAGTGAGTAAACCCTCTGACTTTGGCTCAGGTCATGATCTCCCTGTACTTGGGTTTGAGCCCCTCATTGGGCTCTGTGCTGACAGCTCAGAGCCTGGAGCCTGCTTCAGATTCTGTGACTCCCTCTCTTTCTGCCCCTCCCCTTCTTGTGCTCTGTCTCTCTCTCTCAAAATAAGTAATAAAACATTTTACAAAATAGTTTTAATGGTATTTATTTAAGCTATATAATTTTATTCCTAAGCTCTGTTCACATCAGTAGAGATCACTTTGTCTCTGTCTTTCAAAAATGAATAAATGTTAAAAAAAAATTTTTTTTAAGTTAAAGATTTGTCCAAGATCATGCAGCCACTAGGTGAGAGAATCGAGACTTCATCTTATATAATAACTTCAGGTTTCTCTTTACACTCTTCTTGAAAGGCAGTTTGCCTTTGATACCATGTTTGACTTAGAGTGTCCTATAGATAACTCAGAAAACCATCCAAAACAAATATAGAAATGGAAATAATACCTAACATGTTAAAAGAGCTGTACCTGTAGTTCTATAAAGGCAAAATATTTTCTTTTTAAATCTTTTCTATACACTTATAAAACTACCATCCACCATAAACAAGGATATCTGCAAAAGATTTCCATCTGTTAAAATAATCTACAGAAAAATGCTGATGGTTTCCATTACTTGAATTTTAAATGACAAAACCATCTAACGAGCTGACCTAAATAATACATTAT